CCTCGAAGACTGGGGTCGGTAGTCCCTTAGTCATTACATCGGCAAACTGCCGAGTGGTAGGAACGTGCAAAACACGAACCTTCCCGAGAGCCACCTGCTCGCGAATGAAGTGAATGTCGAGCTCAATATGCTTCGTATGACGATGGTGGACGGGGTTGGCAGAGAGGTAGACGGCGGAGACGTTGTCACAGTAGACGATCCTGGCCTTGGGGACCACACAAAGCAACTCCTGGAGAAGCTGACGGAGCCAAGAGCACTCAGCAATGGCGTTAGCCACTGCCCGATACTCCGCCTCGGCACTCGAGCAAGAGACCGCGGGCTGCCGCTTGGACGACCACGATATCAGCGAGGGCCCGAGGTAGACACAATAGCCTGACGTAGAGCGACACGTCCGGGCAGCCAGCCCAATCAGCGTCGGAGTAGGCGACCATGTCGATGAAGGAGGAAGCCATCAGGGTGAGTCCCATGGTCATAGTGCCTCATATATACCGAAGAATACGCTTCACCAGAGTCCAATGAGAATCACGCGGGGAGTGCATGTGGAGGCACACCTGCTGAACTGCATACTGCAAGTCGGGACGAGTGAGGGTGAGATACTGCAGGGCGCCGATGATGGAGCGATAGAACGTCGCATCTGGCGCAGGGGAACCCTCCAAAGCAGACACCATCACCTTGGTGTCAACAGGCGTGGGTGCGGTTTTGCAGTTAAGCATACCCACGCGCTCGAGAAGCTCATGGGCGTACTTCTGCTGATGCAGAAAGAACCCGTCAGCACGACGAACGACCACTATGCCAAGGAAGTAGTGCAACGCTCTAAGATCCTTGAGGGCAAACTCATCGCGAAGACGAGTCGTGAGCTGCTGAAGAAGCCCAGGCGAGGATGCCGTCGGGATAATGTCGTCCACATAGAGCAGCAGGTACGCAGTGGCAGTGCCCTGATGATAGACAAACAGAGACGCGTCGGAGCGGGTTGTGTGAAACCCAAGCTGCTATAGGAACCCGGCCATATGCTGGTACCACACCCTGGGGGCCTGCTTCAGTCCATAGAGGGACCGAGAGAGCAGGCAGACATGGTCGGGATGCTCGGCGTCGACGAAGCCAGTCGGCTGCTCACAGAAGACCCATTTCGTGAGATGGCCGTGCAGAAAAGCGTTGGAGACATCCAACTGATGCACCGGCTAGGCACGGGAGACCGCCAGCTGAAGCACCGTACGAATCATGCCCGGTTTAACGACCGGGGCGAAGGTGTCGGTGAAGTCCACACTTGCGCGCTAGTGGAAGCCGCACACCACCCAACAAGCCTTGTAGCGCTCGAGAGAACCGTCGGGGTTGGTCTTGTGACGAAACACCCATTTGCCACTGATGACGTTGTCGTGAGGGGGTCGCGGCACAAGATGCCATGTGCGGTTGCGCTGCAACGCATCAAACTCCTCACACATCACAGCGACCCAATGTGGATCACGGAGAGCGGCGCGTGCGGACGAGGGAATGGGCGACGATGGAGAGTATGATGTCAACACCGTGCACGCGTACTCATCAGCAGCGTAGCGCAGGCTGGGGCGGTGGATACCGACACGAGACCGTGTCATCATGCCAGCGGAAGGCGGGTCGGCTGCGGCAAGAGTAACGGACGGGGGTGGTGAAGAGTCTGTCGCGCCCGGCGTCACAGCGGGACCGGAACCAGCCGAAGCGGCGGGGCCAGCCGGGGAGATAGCACTGGCCGAAACAAAGCCAGCCGCGCCACCCAACGTGGTGGTATCCGAAGGGCCACCCGGGGCCATGCAGGGCTACGCCAGGGGGCGTGCAGCTGGGGCCGCGGCGGGGGCCGCAGCAGAGGGGCCCTCTGTGGGGAGGCGCGCCGAGGCCGCACTGGGAGGAGCCAGCGGGAGCCGCGCCGGGGCCAGGAGGAGCCGCGCCGGGGCCAGGAGGGGCCGCGCCGGGGGCTGCACCGGGTCTGCATCCGAGACACCATCATGGAGCATCGAGTCCGCTGTAGAAGACGGTACCTGATAAAAAGGAAAAACCAGCTCATTGATACGTCTCCAACGTATCTATAATTTTTGATTGCTCCATGCTATATTATCTACTGCTTTGGACTATATTGAGCTTTATTTTTCACTTTTATATTATTTTTGGGACTAACCTATTAACTGGAGGCCCAGCCCAGAATTGCTGTTTTTTTGCCTATTTCAATGTTTCAAAGAAACGGAATATCAAACGGAGTCCAAACGGAATAAAAACTTCGGGAACGTGATTTTCTCACCGAACGTGATCCAGGAGACTTGGACCCTACGCCAAGGCATTAGAGAGGCGGTCATGAGGGTGGGGGGCGCCCCCCCCTACCTCATGGGCCCCTCGATGCTCCACCGACGTACTTCTTCCTCCTATATATACCTACGTACCCCCAAGCGATCAGAACAGGAGCCAAAAACCTAATTCCACCGCCGCAACTTTCTGTATCCACGAGATCCCATCTTGGGGCCTGTTCCGGAGCTCCGCCGGAAGAGGACCGTCATCACGGAGGGCTTCTACATCATCATAGCCTCTCCGATGAAGTGTGAGTAGTT